AAATTTTTAATATATGGAAACTGCCGATAATAACGAAATTAAAATTGTCGGTAATTATCGACAATTTTAGTTCCGCTTAGATGAGGGCGCTAACCCATCGGAGTTCGGCCAACGCTCCGACATCCCTATTGTAATATTAGTATGTGCACTGCTTTAGGTGCAAATTTAAATTATAATTCAAACTTCAAGCTATATTTCACGAATCCAATAACATCAGAAATTTGTTATATTTTTTATGACTTTTTTCATATGATCAAACATCAAACTTATTCGAAATAGATTGGGAGATAAAAAATACATCATTATTCACTAATATTCCTAAGGAGCTAATTTTAAAGGGAATCGGAAAACGCTAGAACGATATTTCAGAAAAAAAACAACTTTTAATTTGGCACAATTTGTACATGCTGTGGGAATCATTCTCGAATCGACCAGTTTTTGTTTTGAGACAGTTTTACGAACAAATCTTTGGGGGGAAGTCCGATGGGTTCTTCGTTATCCCTTATCTTGGCGGATATAGTCATGGATGATCTTGAATCATTTTGCTTGAGTTCTTTGGATTTTTTGGTTCCTGTTTATTACAGATATGTGGACGACATTTTTGCTATAGTTCCAAGTGACAAAATAGACGAAATATACTACTTTTAATAACTACCACGAACGTCTTAAATTCACATATGAAACCGAACTTAATTCTTCTCTTAACTTTTTAAATACTATAATACTCCGGTTTAATAATAGACTTATAACTAATTGGTTTAGAAAACCGATTTGGTCAGGGAGATACATGAATTTTTTCTCATGTCATCCTCTAAAATTTAAAATTAACACGATCTATAATTTAGTTGACCATGTTATTTTATTATCTGACGGTTTCACCATAATAATATAGAAATTATTAAGAATACTCTATTAAATAATTGTTTCCCATTAAAAATTATTAATCACTATATATATAAAAGAATTAATTTTTAAAACATAATAATAAAGCAAACAGTAATGAGGATGATATTGAAAATAATAATGAATCTTTTGAAAAAAACATTTTATATGCCGATACAGTACGTGAAAAATGTTAGTGAAAATATTGCACATTCTTTTAAGAAGTTTGGCATTAATGTGGTTCACAGAGATTACCCAAAAAACTCAATTCTATTATTAAATGTGGCAAGGATGTTTTGTCTAATAACCGTGCGACTAATGTTGTGTATAAAATTAATTGTAAGGATTATTCTGCGGCATATATAGGACAAACTAAGAGACATCTTACAATTAGCACGAGGTTTAATGAACATCGAAAAAACAAAATTAGATATTACTTCGCATTCAGTTATTAACAAACATCGGTCGGAATTTGAACACAATTTTGATTGAAATAGTTTTAATATTTTACGTACTGAAAAACACGTAAAGAAGAGAGAGATAGCAGAGATGTTTTTTTATTAAAAAACTCAATAATAACATAAACTCACAAAAAGATACAGAGAGTTTAAATGACATCTACAACAAAATAATTAAGAACACAATATACACCTCCTTCATCTCGGTCAATAGAGCCACACGCGATGTTATTGCGACAATTAAGAAAGAAAGAAAATTTGGAAACTAAGGAATTTGTATTCTATGGTTAAGATCTCAGAAATTCCCCTTGTTCCTCTCTTAACTTCCTCTGTAAAGAAAATAGGCGAGAAAAATATTGGTCCGAAATTTTCTTTCTTTCTTAATTGTCGCAATAACATCGCGTGTGGCTCTATTGGCCGAGATGAAGGAGGTGTATATTGTCTTTTTAAAATTTAAAGAGCCGACTTAATATTCTTATTAAAATAATTAAGGTCGTATAAAATATACTTACTGATAAAATTTTTATCATTCTGTTGACGATCGTTACCGTGAAATGTTCTGCTCTCTCTCGTCTTTTTATTTTTGACTGGTGGCATAAAGATTTATAATGTTTCAATTTGACAATAATTTGTGAACTCCTGGTATGACTTGATTGTAAGTAATATTACTACAATAGAATATCATGTTTGCAGTTGTACAATATTATATGCGGTTTTTGAGTAGTTATTATTTTATTTTTTTATTTTTTATTTTATTTTAGCTTTGTATTTTAAGATTATTTTTAAATTATTTTTTGTAGTGTTATTGGTTCACTTGATAAAACCACAATCACTTGATCAAAACGTCGTAAAATTAAATAAATTGATTTTTGCTAGTTTGGTCGATTATTTGATTCATCTATTTATTAACTAGCGAGTGGAAAGAATTATGTCTATATTTTGTATTTGTGCAAAAAATATATTTTAAAAATTAATATAAATGTAGAATATTAAAAGTAAAATGTAATAAAACAAAAATACTTAAATACATAAAAAGATCCCTATGGTCAATATTAAAACGCCAAAAATACTTAAATACATAAAAAGATCCCTATGGTCAATATTAAAATGCCTAAGAAAACAAATAAAACAGACAGAAAGTATATTGCAAGTAGTTATTATTAAAATATAATTTTGTTCGATTTAACTAAAACAGTTACACTTGATGAAATTTATTCTTCTTAATAATTAAAATTTTTATAATGTAACCATCTTTTCTTGTCTTTTTATCAGCTTATTTTTTTATTCATTCTTGTAATACAATAAAAAGTATGAAATATATATATATATATATATATTAACATACATTTATGTATATTATATAATATAAATAATATATAAGGACCATAACCGATTATACAATTGAGAATCAACTGATAGCGATCAGTTAATCAAGATTAATTTATTTTTAAGAAAAATTTATTTACTGCTTTTCTGCTATATTTGTGACGGTGCACCCCCCCCCCCCCCATCGTTGCGATGCACCCTCCATATCGAGCGCAAAGACCTTCGGAAAACCGAGAAATCCACGATCGAAAAAATCGAACGTGGCCGCGGTCTATAACTGCGCCGAATAATGTTGTAAACAACGGCGGTGTAAACAACGTGGACACACACGTTTCGACTGCTGACGCCCCGCAGAAATTTTGCTCTCAGTGTGGCCGCGACGGGGTTTTGACAAATCAATGTTACCCACCGACACTGGGAAACTCGAAAGGGGCCGAGATCGTACGGACCGACGCGCGACTCCACGTCACCGTCCGTATTAACAACCGAAACTTCACCGCGCCTCTCGACTTCGGATCGGAAGAGTCTTTCGTAAATACTGCAACTGCCGACAACTGTCCGGACGTGGGGGTACCGCGACCACACGGGCGTCGACCAAGTGCAATTCGCCGATGGCACTCACGCGGAAATACCCGGCGCGATCACGCTGCCCGTACAGATGCAAGGTCGAACCTATCACCACGAGTTCGCCATTTTGTCGTCGTTAGTGAGCGAGATGTTGATCAACATTGACTTGTGGAGCCAAACGGGATTGACTTTGCCACCGCCGTGTAACACTCGCGCCGCGAGATCACCGAAATGCAGTTTCGCTGACGGACTGGCTCCGCGAACCCCGGAAGAAGACCAACAACTCGCCGAATTCCTCGCCACTCGCGCTGTTCAGGTTAGAGGACCCACGGAGGTCACCCAGCACCGTATTCGACTTAAAGATCCGACGCCGATTAAGCAAAGGTACCGGCCGCGTAATCCGGCGATGCAGGCCATTATCGATAACGAAGACACCGAAATGGAAAAGGAATTATCGAGGCCCAAACTCCGATAGCACCACACATAACCGCAAATATGCATATACACACAAATACGCGTGAAATTTATTAATATATAACTTTTTTATTAGATTTGTAATCTCACTTCTAATTGTTTTATTCTTTGTTATCCCTATCGCGCGAACTACATATATCTTATGCACAGACAAACTGCAGAACTTTTTTTATTAAATAAGTATTGTTACGAACTGACACAAAAAAAGCCGATAACAAAACTGTAATTTTTCATTTTTATATGATTTATATATGGAATTATAGCTAGCGCGGTCCGTTTTTATAAGTACTTTAATCATGCAAAAGGATTTATTGATCAATATAGTCAATATAAAAAGATATTTAAAAAATAAGAATCTTCTCTCGACCGTACTGGCAAATACTATTTATTCAATCACAACGCCTCGACCCCTCCTTGATATTAAAAAAAAACTAAATATTCGCATTCAGTCGGTAAAAACATATCTCCGGTATCCCCTTAAAAAGAAAGACGGCAAGCACCAATTCTGTATCAACTTTCACCGGGTAAATGACGTCACCGAGAAAGACGTATATCCGTTGCCCCAGATTTCAGTAACTTTGGACAAACTACGGGAAGCGCGCTACCTCTCACCCTCCTTCCCTCTCTCTCTCTCTCTCTCTCTCATACTCTCTCTTTCCCCCTCTCCCTCTCTCTCTCTCTCTCCCCTCTTCTCTTCTCTTCCGATCTTAAGGTGGGTTTAGGATGAGCTTAACGTAACGGAACGTAACGGAACGCAACGGGACGTGAAGTGACGTGAAGTAAACTTAACGTTAAAGTATATCTGTCTAATTACGATCGCCATAACGTGCCGTTAAAAAAAACAGCGTGCATTTTGACAGCGTTATTATTCTTGTTGTCATTCTCGTTGGTAGTTTCTATCAAAATGAATTCTGCTGTGAGAAATTATCAAATTTTTAATTTAATTTCGATCGGATATTTTTACCTTCAACGGCGGAAGAGAAAACGAGTACGAACCATTGGTGTGAGAGAGATTTTTCGAAGAAGAATCCAGTTTGGTGACGGACATAATCTGTTAGAAGAACTCCGTTTTAATGATCCGCACTTTTTTTTATTTATACAAGAATTGTTGAAAGGTAATGTCTATTAATAAAGAATCATAAAAGATTAATGGTTTGATCGTATAGGGTTTATTTTTTACATATTATATTTTGCTTTCTTAGATTCGAGTATCTCTTGAGTTTAATTGGTCCACTGTTAAAGAAACGAAAAATGTACACTACTCTTTTACCCTCTCAGAGACTTGCCATAACATTAAGGTTCTTGGCAGCAGGAGACAGTCAGGGTACTCTGAGCTTTTCCTATAGATGTGGCAAGAGCACTATCTCTCAGATCCTGGCTGAAACTACTCGAGCACTTGTAAGTGTTTTGAAGAATGCATTTGTAAAGCCTCCTGCAAATGAAGCGGAGTGGCGTGAGGTGGCTGCTGGATTTTGGGAAGAATGGCAATTTCCCCATTGTGTGGGAGCCATCGATGGGAAGCACATTCAAATGCAGGCCCCACAAGCTTCTCAAAGTATTTACTTTAATTACAAGAAAACATTTAGCATAGTTCTATTGGCAGTTTGTGATGCATACTACAATTTCATCATGCTCGATGTAGGAGCAGAAGGCTCACAAAGTGATGGCGGAATTTTTCAATCGTCTGAAATGGGTCGGCGATTGAATGATGGATCTATTAATTTGCCAAATTCGAGTAACCTACCAGAAACTGATATTGATATGCCTTACTTCCTTGTAGGAGATGCAGCTTTCCCTCTGAAATCTTACCTAATGAAACCCTATGGCGAACGTAACATATCTCATGACAAGTCTGTGTATAACTTTAGGTTGAGCAGAGCAAGAAGAGTGATTGAAAATGCCTTTGGCATTTTAGCAGCTCGTTGGAGAGTTTTTCGTCGCCCTATTATTAGTAAAGAAGACAATGTGGAAAGCATTATTGAATGTACTATTTGCCTCCACAATTTCATCCTTAAGACAGGCAACAAGAAACTCAACCTGGAGTACTGCCCTCCTTCGTTTGTGGATCAAGAATTGCCAACTGGCGAATTGATAGAAGGAGAATGGCATGATGTTGTCAGTGGGGAAAATGGAGCCATCATTAATGGTCCACGGATGGGTGCAAGAAATGCTGCTCTAGGAATTTTAAAACAGAGAGATGCACTGAAGGAATTCGTGAATGGGCCTGGGGTTATGCGCCATCAAGACACTATTGTGAGGATCCGGCAAGGAATTATCCCCCCTCAAGATCTACACTTACTGCCATGAGTTTTTTTTTAATTAAATAAATCTTAATACAAAACATGAATAAAACATTTTTATTTAAACACAGAAAGAAATAGAATTTTTATTTTTTAAACAGAAATAAATAGAATTAAACATTTTTATTTTTAAATAAACACAGAAATAAATAAAATAAAGTAATAAAATAAAATATAAGATAATAAAATAAACGAATTATATATCTATAAATTCTGATAATTTTATATCTTCAGCCTCCTCCTCACAATCTTGGATTATAGATCTAAATTTCCTTCTATATTTAAGTCTTAACGTCATATTTGTCAAATTCTTGAGACAAGATTCAACGTTTCTGCTAATCAAGACGTCTGGATCATTAATTGAAGGTGGTGATGATAGTGGTGGAGTAGGAGCACTGGCTACAGCCATAGATTTATTTAAATTAGTAAGAGTCTCTCTGAACAATTCATCTGTTTCGTCCACCTTTGACCTCTTACGACTTGTAGGTCCCAAATAAGGCATATTAGCAGCTGATGAGCTACAGCCAGGCGAGGAGAGGGTAGAACAGGTAGAAATTATAAAGGGTGCGCTATTAATGTCCACAGCTTGCTCATTTATTATTATTTCTTCATCTGGTGAAGGTGTAGTTTTAGATACCAACGCCTTTGTTTGAAAATTGTCCACAGATCTGCAACCGGAAATAATTAAAAAAATTATCGTAATTATTCGAAAATTCGTACAACAAACCATCATATACCAAACTTACTTTCTCTTCCTAATGTGCGGTGTCAGAAATGACATAACACTATATAAGGCCCATTCTGGACGGGTTGAGGCTGCTGCTCCAGACTTCCCCTCCTGCTCAAAAATACGTTTTTCTTTCGCGAATCTCTCGCGAAGAGTATGCCACCTGGCCGTACAATCTGTCGCTGATGCTGAAATCATAACAAAAAAGATATTAAAAAACATATATAAATTAATGTAATAAATATAAATTTTAAAAAAAAGATGCAATATAACCTACCATTCAATGTTTCGCCAACAATCTTCCATGCGGAGTCTTTTATGCCGGAATTTTTGAATCCGGCATGTCCCTTGTCGTATATTTCGGGATGCGCACGAACACACTATCAATAACGTGTCGTTAATTGACATCTTCTATTGCTATAAGCTCCGAATGAGCAACACAATGTTAAATGTCAAATTCTTAAACTCGAATGTAGCGCGCGTAAAAAAACAAAAAAAAGTTACATTAAAATATTTTTAATGTAATTTTAAATAAAAAATTAATTAATTAATAATTGAATAATAATTATTAAGATTATAATTATAATAATTATAATTGTATAAATATAAAATAATTATTACAATAATATATTAGTAACTAATATTATATACATATTTATGATTATAATTATAATAATTATTATAACTATAATAAGAATTATAATTAATAATAATTATTTTAATAATTATAATAAATTTTTTTAAAGACCGACTAGGCGAAACGCGACAAAGCTTGGCAAAGCTTGATGTCGCGTTAAGTTCTAATAATTCGTTACGTAAAGGCGATCGTAATAGCCGAATTCCGTCGCGTTCCGTTACGTTCCGTTACGTTAAGCTCATCCTAAACCCACCTTTACTCTTTTTCATTTTTGCTCTCGCCAGCTAAAACAATTTGTAGGTTATATTCTGAGTATTTACAAACTCGGCATACGTATTGCAATTTTTTTTCACTGTTAATGTATGTGGAACAATAAATATAAATATTCACAAAAACAAATTATTAAAAAATTATTAATTGATTTAGAACGCTATAAATAAAATTATCAAGGAAATAAATGATAAAATTTATTTAGATTATTTCAGCTTTTGGTAGACTATAAATGTTATCGTTTAAATTTTAAATCGTCAAGCATATTCTTCTCTTTTTACTTATATATTTATTACTTTATTACTGTTTTTAGCAAATACAGTTTTTGTATAATATATTCAAGTTTCCTATAAATCCTTTATAATTTAACGTTCGCTATTAATGCTGAAAAATAAACATCAACAATTCTTTTTAAATTAAGAGTTTAACAAGGCTCTGTCATATAAATATAAATTTAAAGTGTAAGACAGGCAATATGAGCCAATCGCGGAAGACAGTGCGTTATCCCAACAAAACTAAATTTTTTCGTTAGAATTAAATATCTGTGCACAAGGCACCAAATTTTACTTGGTCACTGCCAAGATTTTAAAATATGAAATAATCTCATATTTGAGATTTAATTTCAATAATCCTTTAACCCCCCTACGGAAATAAATAAATGTAAGAGAAAATATAGATCCGAAAGTCGCTGAATCGGAAATTGAACCCGAGACCTTTCGCTTGCCGGGCGACTGCTCTTCCAACAACAAAAATTTAGTTTCGTTGGGATAACGCACTGTCTTCCGCGATTGGCTGTTTTTAAATTGTTTGATTACATTTTAGTATTAGTTTAGCAGGCGATACCAAGGGTGGAATTTTCTCAGAGCAACAGAGTATGCAGAAAATTATTTGGATAGATAAACCATATATCAGTAAAGCCAACAATGTGGCTTTACATGATAACAGCATTTATGTTTACATTCAGTGGTCAAACAAATATTTTTAGACATATAACGTGTCGGATCGATCACGAATATTTGGAAGAAATCTGCCTAAGTTGCACGACGATAATAAGGTGATAAAGTGCAGATAAAAATTACTATACACTTTTTTTTAAGGAGAGGAAGCGGAAAAAGGAGAAAAATGGCGTTATTAAAGTATTGAAATATAGTTTAATAACAGCATGAGATCGAATTCGAATTCGATTATAAATTTCTAATTTCGCATACAAATATTCAACTTGACAATTACGTTGATAACTTGTACAAAAGATATTTATGCATATGATTATCTTATCTGTATTATAATCACAGCAGTGCAACTATAATGTAAGAAATAATTGCTTATTAATGGAAAATAAGCAGCAGATAAAAAATTGTTATCAAGATAAATTATTAAGTTAAATGTTTGCATGTTTCAGTAAATTTAATAAATATATTCTCTCGCACCCACACCCATCCTTTCACATTTACATTCTTTATCGTTCCACTAAAACTTATTCATTAGAAGCAATAAATTAAATAAATCACAAAAAAATTCAAAGCGAATTAATATCTCAAATTTCTTACTGAACTGAATAAGCAAGCAATTTTTTTCTTTACTCGTATTGTTCAAAACTTCTTCCATGTCGCGAACTAAAATTGTGTTGATTCTTTCATACTCAGAATAGTATTTTCATTAGCCAATAGATTATTTGTCATTCCTCAATTATAGTCTAAAAGAGAATATTTTGCAGATAATAGTCGGATTTTTATCGATGGAACGATATTGCTGGCGTGATGTTTTATTTCTTATCATCTTGGCGCGGACGTAAATTGCTGCTCGTCCTCGACGTGATAAACAAATTTATCTATTCTTTCAAGGTACTGATCAATTGGATGATGGAGACTTGGAAATTTGCTTTGTGTACACATTGGACGAATTTCAGTGTAACATAGAATCCTGAAGATGATGATTCTGGATGTCATTTATCTCAGCACGAAGCCATCTGATGAGTGAGATCCACATTAGTTCTTGACAAAATTGTCCGCTCGAAGAAAGTATGATTATGTCCACTTCCTTCAAAAAAATTTGCGAACGACGCAAATTTTTAAAATTTTCTGGATTCTTACGTTATTTAATTTAGATAAGATGAGCTGCATATTTATTATGAAACTTTTTGCTTCATCTTGATTGTAAATGTTGACAAAATATATTAAATTCTATAATTTTTTATCCAATTTAATAACTGCATTTGACGAATAACGTTTCTTCTTTTTGCAAGAGTCGTGCTTGGATTTTATATCTTCAGTCACTCATCCTATTTGATTATTTTCCTCGTAAACACCATGTTGCTTGAGCTAGCGATTTTGTACTCGTATGATTTAAGTAGCAAACATCACCATGACAGTAACAGATGTTCTCCGGCATCAATTCTTCTTATTTTTTTTTGTTGACAAGGAACAGATGAATAGTTAAGAACTGATCATACTGCCAGAGTACTTTCAATTGATATAATATAAGAAGGCTTGATATTTTTAGAGGAGAAACTGCAAGCTTCTTCTTGTATATCAAATAAAAAGTTTATCATCAGTCTTCTTCGTCATTTTCTTCTTTTTTTTGTATATCTTGTATTCTTGTAATAAAAAGATTATCATCAGTCTTCTTGTTCTTCTTTTGCTGTTGACAAGGAACAGATTCAGGAAAAGGAAAAAATTCAGATGTAGACTTTATTGATCTTGGAATGGGGTGACAGACTTCAGTAACTTCCAATCAAAGATATTCCAATCGATTTTCTTCGTGTTAAGTCAGTTTGGCAAATGATTTGTCGAATTAAGTCATCATCCATTTCACGAATCCTCATCGCAATTTGTAGTTTTTAACTTGTATTCTGAGGGATACGCGCGATTGAAAGGAAAATTTCTTTTTCAAAATTAATAATAATTACTCTCAATTAATTTATCTTATTGTCATTGTGTCTATTAAAATATATAAAATTACTTTGCTTTTTAAAACGCTTTTCTCAAATATTATATATATAATATCTGAATGTGTGTGTGTGTGTGTGTGTGTGTGTATAATAATATATATATATATCTATATATATATACACACACACACACACACACACACACACACATTCATATAGAATGTATGTGTATTTATATCTGTTTTCTTTTTTAAATAAAAAATATAATAAAACACAAAAAATAAATTATTTCACATCCTAAAGACACAATTAAATTCTGCAATCAAAATCCTAATATTTTATTTACCAGAGCAGATAAAGGCAGCATTACAGTCGCACTAGAAAAAGAATTTTATATAAAAAATTGAGAGTCTCCTAGAATACGATTCTACGTATACCATAGTTAAAAACAATCCATCAACAAAATAGAAAAAAAAAGACCTCAATTTGTTTAAAAAAATTGGTTGAAAAAGGACTTCATCAACAAAAAAATATTATTATTTATTTTCAAGCGACTCTCTTCTTCCTAAAGCTTATGGGCTCCCCAAGATCCACAAGGAAAATATTCCTTTTAGATTATAGTTTCCTCATAAATACTTCTCTATATAATATTGCTTCTTTCTTTCATAAAATTTTAAAAGATAGCCTTCCTAGAGCGGACAGTTTTGTAAATAACAGTTTTGATATATGAACTTCTATCAGGGAAAAACAATACAAGATACCGACATAATAGCTTCATTGGACGTTGTTTCATTATTTACTAATGTTTCCCGTAGATCTTGCATTAAACGGTACATAATAGATGGCATTTTATAGAGTCACACACAAAGATTCCCAAAAATGAATTCATAGGTATGATAAAATTTATATTAACTTCTACATTTTTCACTTTTAATAACATAACTTACAAACAAATTTTGGGACTCCTATGGGTTCCCCACTTTCTCCGATCATTGCCGATATAGTCATGCAGGACTTGGAAACATTAGTAATTAGTAATTTAAATTGCGAAATGACTTTCTATTTCCGTTATGTAGACGACATTATTTTATGCACTTCCGCTGACAATATTACATATGTTTTGAACGAATTTCAACAATTATAACGATAGACTACAATTTACATTGGAAAAGGAGGATAATCGTTGTATAAGCTTTTTAGACATAATGATCAAAGTAATAGATAACAAAATTTATTTAGATTGGTATCACAAAAAGACATTCTCAGGTAGATTACTTTCATTTTTTTTCAATCATCCGACTTGTCATAAAATAGGAACAATTTATAACTTGGTAGATAGAGCTTTATTACTATCACATCCGCAATTTCACAAAAAAAATATAGAGAAAGCTATTAACATTTTGCTATCCAACGGTTATCCTCTTGATCTAATTTTCACAGAAATAAAACGCAGATTAAAAATCTCTCAACTCAACTAAGAAATTTAACAAGCCTAATAATAACAATATAACAGATACTAATAATACTAATACTAACATTAAATATTTTGTCATACCATATATAGAATCAATATCTGAGAAAGTTGCTTCAGCAATAAGAAGACCTGACGTAGTG